ACGAAATTCTATAAGGAGGGGAGATTGTCACAGCCCGTCCCGGAGTTACTTTTGGCGGGAATGTGAAATGACAGAATTGCCCTTATTGGACATTAAGGTACGTAGGTACGTAACGTTATTTTGAAAATAGCATTGGTTATTTGGGAGAATGTCATATGGTTGGATGGGATTTTATTGGAAATTGATTTTTGGTATGTATGGTTAGGATGAAATGGAGGGTGTGGATTATTTTGGACCACACATGACCTTCCTCTCCTTCCCCTGTGCTTTCCCTGTCTCTGTCTCTCTCTCGACTTCACACCCACACACACATCCATCGTACGGCACACCCCAAACCCTCCAAAAACTCAACGGATCGAGGCAAATAAGGTATGTATCTTCATCGTTTTGATGTCCTGAGTTCATTGGTACTAGTTTTAGGAAGTGAAACCTTCGATTTCACGTAGATCCCGAACCTCCATTTTTGAGGTACTGTTCATGCGAACGTAAAATGTTGTGTTTCAGGAGATTTCAAGCTTGTGGTGAGCTTTAGGAGGTCCTAAGGAAGCTCGGAGACGTTCGTTGGAGAGTTTTGGACTTCGGGATCGTAGGTTTCAAGTTTGGCCGAAATCCTTGGTTTTTGCAAGGTGAGATTTCGTAGTTTTTAGGCCCTAAAACTAGTCCAACGTGATAGTACACTCTTAGGGCTTCAATTTGGTATAAATTTCGAAGAAAATGGGTGAAAAACGAAGGAGAACAGTGGGTTTGAAAATCGGCCGGAGGTTGGCCGGAGTCCGGCCGTCGGGAAACCAGTCCGGCGAGCCTTTGGAAGGGATGACACGTGCGCTGCACGTGCTGCGCGTGGCCAGCGCGTGGACCCGTGCCACGTGTGGCGCGTGGGGCTTCAAAAATTTTTTCTAAAAATATCCCGACACTCGTGACGTCGAGTAGGTCGATGTGGTATATTCATATACCAAAATTGAGCATCGTATGAGAAGTTATTTCGAAAAATTGGTGATGCTTAAAATTAACGTTTTTTATAGTTGTTTCGCATATATAGGTGAGACGTATCCGAGGACGACCGCATCCAGGGACGCCACGGGGGTTACGACCCGTCGTCGACTTATCAGTGAGTGGGCAGTTTTGTTTCGTATTACCTATATACTACTGTTTTTCCCAGAAAAATGTTTTTATATGAAATATGTTTTGAACATGCCATGCCTAGAACTATTTAAAAATCAAATTGGTTTTTGAATTATGTGAATTGATAATTGATGCATATATATGTGAATTGGCGCGAGGACGCACATGTGAGTCTTATATTATTATTCAGATGAGTTATTTTATAATGAATTGCATTGAAAGCTCATAACCTGCACCCTAGGTGTTAGTGCTTATTTTATTCACCACACCGCACGCTCGCCTTGGATCCAAGTAGGGTGGATGTCGTACAGACCATGTGAGGGTTCCGACATGCTAGTCGTATAGATCACTAGGCGTGATTCCGACTAGTGGGTGATTCTAGTTATGCGCGCGCTGATGAAATGATGAGAGAAGCACTAGAGCGTATTTTTACACCTTTCATCGTATAGACTACCTTACGTAGTTCCGAGTGATGTGCAGGTAGGCCGTATAGGTCACTGTGGTGACTCCGGCTTAGTGAGATATTGAGCTATTGAATTAATCGTATAGGACCAACTGCAGGGTCTCCGATTGATTCTTTATTTCACCTGATTTATATTTTGATTTATGTCATGGCATGTTTTCTTGAAAATGTTAAAGATTTGAGATTTAAGTATTGAGATTTATATGGTTATATATTTCTGGAAAAGTATACAGGTTTTTACGGCGAGGGGATATAATTGTTTTTTAATGAAATGTTTTGGAAAACTAATTTGTTTTACTGACCCACTCATTTTGTTTTGCGCCCCTCCAGGTTCTAGTTTAGCGGTGGTTGGCTCACGAGGTCCTTTCCGGCTTTCTGATAGATTTTGGACATGTAGGACTCACCTGAGGGTGATGTATTCTTATTTTAGTCCTACTTGACTGCAGATAACCTATGCTCTGAACTTATGTGTTTACTTGTAAACTCGTCCAGTTATGTCCGTATGTGGTTATGTTGAGTTTGGTTTGAAATTCTGTTGATTTATGTTGTTGTTATGCTTCCGTGTCGTGCTTATGGTTACGTCACGCCCACGTGACGGCCAGCACACCTGGATCCTCCGGATCAGGGTGTGTCAGTTCAACCCAACCCAACCCAAGTGTGGTTATGTTTGAGATTTGGGCCTAAGGTCAAGTTTGGAGACTACATTGAGTGGGCTTTAATGAATAGTCCAATTTGATAATAAGCCAATTTAATGAATAATCCAATTTAATGAATAATAATCCAATTTTATAATAATCTAATTTAATGAATAATAATCCTATTTGATAATAAAAAACCTAATTATTAATAATAAAATCCTATTTGAAATAAAACCTAATATTAATAAATAATAAATAAAACATATTAAAATTATCGTAGGGAATAATTATACAACATTACTTAATTACTTACAAAAAATTAACAAGTAATTGTTAACATTACTTAACTACTTACAAAAATTAACATGCAAGTATTAATTACTTAAAAAAATTAACATACGAGTCCACACAAATTTATTTGTTGTTGTATAAATTACAATAATATAAATATAAGTTTGTAAACTTACCTTAAATATGGAACCCTTTGTGTTCAAGCTTTGGAATGGATCTGGAATGGCTTTGAAGATGGTAAGGGAAATAAAAATAATAAATAACATTAAACATATTAAAATTATCCTAGGGAATAATTATACAACATTACTTAATTACTTAAAAAAAATTAACATGTAATTGTTAACAATACTTAATTACTTACAAAAACTAACATGCAAGTATTAACATTACTTAATTACTTAAAAAATTAACATGCAATTGTTAACATTACTTAATTACTTACAAAAACTAACATGCAAGTATTAACATTACTTAATTACTTACAAAAACTAACATGCAAGTATTAATTACTTAAAAAAAATTAACATGTAATTGTTAACATTACTTAATTACTTACAAAAACTAACATGCAAGTATTAACATTACTTAATTACTTTAAAAAATTAACATGCAATTGTTAACATTACTTAATTACTTACAAAAACTAACATGCAAGTATTAATTACTTAAAAAATTAACATACGAGTTCACACAAATTTTTTTGTTGTTGTATAAATTATAAGAATATAAATATAAGTTTGTACACTTACTTTAAATATGGAACCCTTTGTGTTTAAGCTTTGGATCTGGAATGACTTTGAAAGGGGTAAGGGAAATAAAATAATCGAAAAGGCTCCTCTGATACTGATACTCCACTCTTTGAAATTTTTTCACAATGACAACTTTGAAAGAATAACACAATAACTCTGAAACTCCACCTTTTAAAACAATATTGGCACACGGTTTTGAATGAAACCACCGTCCATGGTTTGAAAAGACTACAAATTATAATGGTAAAAGCTGCATGAAATTGTCCAAATAATTGTTCGTGTTGTCGAGAATATGGAGTGAGTCATGTGTCCTCCTGACAGGAGGAACCCACACACACACACACAAATGACCACCATTCATGGTCTGAAAAGAATACAAATTATAATTGTCTCATGTCCAAATAATTGTAAAACTTGTCAGGGATTATTGAGTGAGTTGTATCCTCCTGACAGGAGGAACCCACACACTCAAAAGACACATCGCACGCACACACAACGCACGCACGCAGATAACCTCAGTCTCTCTCTCTCTCGATCCTTCTCGTTCTCTCTTCTCCCTTCTCTTCTTCCACACACACACTCACACAGAGAGCTCCTCAGTCTCTCTCTCTCTCGATCATCCTTCTCGATCTCTCTTCTCCCTTCTCTTCTCCCACACACACACTCACACAGAGAGCTCCACAGGTTGACATCGGATCCAAGTCCAACACACGCACACACAGAGATCGGACTCACAGAGATCTCCGATCTCTCTTCTGCCAAACACACACACGCACACAGAGATCTCTCGATCTCTCTTCTCCATTCTCCGATCTCTCTTCTCCCTTCTCCGATCTCTCTTCTCCCAAACACCCACATACAAAGAAAGATCTCCGATCTCTCTTCTCCCAAACACACACACACACACACAGATCTCTCGATCTCTCTTCTCCCTTCGCCGTTGATCGTGGCTCAGGCGAAGTCAGAGGTGCGCCGCTGAGCAAGGATCGTTCGTCTTCGTCTTCGTCAGGTGAGATTCCATGAAACCCTAAACCCTAAACCGACTTCACCCTGCCTTGAATCGTTTATGCATGCGTGAAATCTGATGTATATATGTGAAATTGATGTTAAGATTCGTGTTTTTGCAAGGTTTTTGGGACGAAACCGGCCCGGGAATCGCCCCACCGTCTCCGGCGTTCTTCTCCGACGTCGCCTAGGATTCCGATTCCACCGTCCATGGATATTTTGCCGATATTTCCAAAATATCGCGATATTATCGATAATATCGCGATATTTGGCCGAAAAGCCTTCGGATACCACTTTTAATATCGCCATCCCGAAAAACCGATAATATCGGCGATATTTTGCCGATATTATCGGCATTTTCTTCCATGCACTGGAATGATTTTGGGCAGCATTTCGGGTGACAGAGACTTTCAATGGCGGCCGGAACAAACCACGCCTACCCTCCGATCAAAGGTTGAGACGGGCTGATCACTTCCATGCATCGCTTTCAGTAATCGCGTTTCTAGCGTTTGCAGCTTCGCATTATGATGTTGCGGGTTGTTATTATCCGGCAACGCCTAGGAGGGTGACCAACACTCTTCCTCTTGTGGTAGGGTTTGTAGTTAGTGTTTTGTTTGTGCCCTTTCCTTCTAAGAGAAGGGGAATTGGCTACCTTTCTTGATGCTGAGGGATACTTTTTTAGTCTCTAGATGTTGATAAACTTTATAAAAGTAAAGGACGCTTAACAGGGAACGAAAGGAATATAATTTGTGTGTGAATAAATTTGTAACCAATTACCGTTCTCACAAAGAATAAAAAGAAAAAATTATGACAGAGGCTATTGCACAACAAGAGATACAATTATGTATAAGTATAGGCCTGTAAAAGTCACGTACAGTGGCAACGGCGTGGAACTGAAACACCGGGAGGTTTTCTCCTTTCACGAACGATTGATTCCTTGATCATTGGCAACTTTTGATGAACCATCTTCCACATGTGGTTCACTGCACCGTCGGGAGGAATTGGCCCGATGCCACCAGGATGACCATTGTCATACTCAAACATGGGCTGAAACTGTGCCATTGTTCGACGAAATCTATCCCTCTGCTCTCTAGTAAAGGTCCTAAGATGGCTCACAATCCAGTTCGGTTTCAACGCATCATCGACTGCCACAAAAACAGAAAACTCTGAATAATCTACCATCCCTTCGAAAGGAAGTTCTATGTTGTCACTGACAATAACGGGTATACAGAGACTTTGCATTGCATCGAACAGCCGACATGAAGTGGGAGTGTCCCCAGCTGGATGCAAGCAAAACTCTGAAGTTCTCATCCCTTTTATGGACTGTTCCCTCCCAGTGGCGTTAGGGAAGCCTTCTTCCATGATAACATCTGGCTCATTAACCAACAAGTCCCACAATGTTTCTCGAACTAAGCCTCCCTGTTATCAGAAAACTCAGTTATGTTACTAAAATAATTACACAACATAGACAAGTTAGCTTTATGCCAACCTAGATTAGGTCACAAACATAGTATCCTATATCACATAAAGCATTATAATGATTGTTAAACTTTACGACAACCCAGCGATGAATGACATGAGATGTACGCAATGCATTAGGACATAAAAAGAGTGTATCTGGTGGCACTTCAAGAGTTTGCCACATAACAATATAAACAAACTATTTTAAGACTAATTGCAGTTTCAACAATGTCAGTTCAGTGATGAAACCGGAGAAGAAAGTGCAATTTACAAAGTGATGAGTTACAAGCAGTCAAAAAAGAAAGGCAATGAAAATCATGTCATATGTCAGATACAATGGGAGAAGTAAGATTCAAATCTAGCATACTAACCCGGTGCCTATGTTTAGCTCCTTTAAAGTAAAGTAGCGTTTGACGCTTCTTATTTTCTGTCAGTTGCAATCGGGGAAGTAGATGGGTGTAGGGCACAATGACATCTTTGAGTAGTGACACTTGTGTGTGCTGAATCACATCTGATGAGTTACCGTTTGATGACCTGGATTCGAGTGTGTACCACCCTCCAAAATCTACAACGAGAAGGACCGCCGGGGCTATCTCTGCTCGAACGTGCCACATTGCCACTGGGTCTGCCAAAAATGCTTCAAGTTTTAACACAACCTACAAACCCAGAGACTAAATCATAAGCTGCTATAGCATATACTACATTTACATTGTTCTCTAACATTTTAATGGTGCTCCCAGTTACCTCCAATTGATCAAATGGTATCCAAGAAAATAAAACTTTGAAAATCGCAACGTCTTGATAAAAGGACCAAACTTTCTAAATTCCAAGGATCAAATGGAGAATGGAGATGGATTCATTGCAAATACTAGAACACATTTAAATCTACAGACCCACATAAATAATCACAGAAATCACACCAAAATCACCACCTAATCATCAAAACCAGTGAACAATCCCATCAATTACTCAATGGCCATTAGCACAAATCGAATTTAAATAATAGCAATTAAATCCCAACGAAAAAATTAAATAAAAAGCCAACGTACCAGTAAGCACAAACACATGGTCTCTTCCACCTGACCTTTTCCAAGCCTCAGTGTTCTTCACAAAGTCCACCACTTGCCTCTGCCTCTCATAGTCCTCATTCCCAGCCTTCTTCCTAAACACCCCTTTAGCCGTAGCCAGCTGCAATTCTGCGCTCAAGGTCGCGAAAAAGGGGACGAAAACAACGTCGGCTTCGTCGGCATCGAAAACCCGGGAGGCAAACGACCCAGTTCTGTGCTCCGGAGGGGTCATCAGGTCCCCCAAAATCCAGTACTCGGCGCTGTACTGTTTAATCAATGGATTATCTGGATAGGGTGGAAATTCAAGGTTTTTGGGCAAATGGGAGTCTGGGATTTGGTGGTCGGTGTCCGTTTGGAGGCGGGAATCGGGGCCGGAAGCCCAGTACTTTTCGAGGAGGCCATAGTTGAGGGATCTGGGGAGGTCTGCTAGGTAGACTTTGAGGGAATTTTGGGGAGAGAGAGGGGCGTTTAGGGAAATGAAAGATGAGGAAGAAGGAGAAGGAGAGGAAGAAGGAGAAGGATTGGAGAGGAAGAAGAGAGAAAGAGAGAGAGCGCAGAGGAGAGTGAATGCGAAGAAGAGAGTGGGAACAGAGCAAACGGATGAAGAAGGTGTCGTTGTGGCGGTGCCCTTCACTGCCATGCCTTTTGCTTTCCTTCTCTATCTTTGCTTTGGTCGCATAAGGAAAATCGATGAAAATGAAACCCGTACTTAGACACACAGGCATTGATCAACTAATTAAATTCATTGCAAAGACTTAAATTATAATTTAATTTTTTATGTTGTTTATTGGATTCAGCATCTAAAATCTCTCAACTTTTTAGTGTCATTTTAAATTGGTTTCAATCATTTTAACAAACGATATTATCTACCTTAAAGAGATGGAAGAGTTAGCTAAACCTAACAATATACTATCAATAATATGGTTCAAATTTGTCTTTGACGACTACTGATATTCCTCTTCACTTATAAATAAGAGGTATTAGGTTCGATTCTCGTTAAAGGTGAATTTGAACCACATTATTACTAGCTCATTGTGAGGCTAAGCCTACCCCCTCCCCTTAGTGTAGATAATATCATTTGCCGTTTGTTCAACAATAAAAAAATTCGTTTTTGATGAAAATCAAATATAAAACCTCTCACTTACAGATGAAGAAGAATACATAACATTAAGTGGCTTGTTTATTAATACTTAAAAGTCCTAGTTTTGTAGAGTTTGGTGAATAATAGGTATAAATTAAGCGCGTTATGGGGACATGTCCACCGAGGCACATCAACATGAAGCAAGAGCCCATAATTGCATGTCTTGGAGGATCCCAGGTCTATTATATCATATTATTATTTTATGACTTGTTTGATCATAATTTCGTTTGTAGCTAATAATTTTCAGTTTTTGAATTAGATATAGAAGAAAAAAATTAAGGGAGAAACGAGGAATGCTACAGAGGGGTGGAATGCTGTTGAAGAAATGCACAGAGAAAATATAAAAACAAGAAAGATTTTAGGGGTGGGCTTGGGTCGAGCCGGGTCCATTTTTGGTGGATCCGGACTTGCCTTGTTTTTTTGTAAATGAGTTCAAGTTGGTATGAATTATGCATTTTTATTAGTGGAATCGACTAATTTAGATCTGTTTGATACGATCTAGTTCTTACGGGTCAAACAGATATGTTTTCAATCATGTCGTATAACAAAACAACAATATAAAACGATCTCTATGTGTTCTATACAAAAGAATTATGTCTAACAAAGCCAATACAACAATCGTTGTTTTATTCCTTTGTAGGGTTAGATAGATGTGAAATTATGAATATGTGCTTCATTGTAGACCACCAACCCTTGATGGTCTAGGCCAGATCACCCACACATAAAAAATGTCGATTCAATTTTGGACTTGTTTTTACACAAGCAGGGTCCAAGTTGGATCATTTTAAAAATTAAAAGTAGGAATCCAATAGTTTTACATGAGGTCAAGTAATACGATTTGGATATGTATTTTGCCTTCATGCATTTTCCTTCATTTCTTTCCTTCTCTCCCATTGCCCTTCATCATCACTCCTTTTCCCCAAATACTAATCTTACTTCTCAAGCACAAAAATTAAAATCTAAAAACAAGAAATCTAAAGTATAAGATAATCCGGACATGTGGGTACTTTGCATTCTTTCGGGTCTCTTTTGAAGTATTGTCCAAAACAGAAATCTCTCAAATCATGTGGTTTTCATCACCAACATTTCAATTTCGGAAACACATCAATTGTTAGTATGTTTGATTAGAGTTTCATAATTAAATGGTTTTCGATACGACTGATCTGCCAAGGACATTATAAACAAACGCGACGATTTTCGATGGTTACAAATGGACAAACTTTCCCAGAGGGAAAAGTGTGTTCAATGTAGCCATATCTAACAAAAATAGACTGCAAGATTGTCTCCTACAACTATACCATGGAAAGAGACTTCTTTTCTCCAGTCAAACTGGAAAACTCTTAACGCCCCATCACAACCTCGTCAAAGTTCCAGTCCCTCACGATATCCCTTCTCACAGCCCGGCTTCGAACTAGCCTTGGGGTACCTGGTATGGAACCGCTGTTTGAAAGAGTTGGTTGCGGGGTTACTTTGGATGATGCAATGTTGGAATGTCTTGGCAATGGAAGAGATGGCCTCCGTGTTAAGCAGTTGGCAATAGCAGAACATCTTCCATCATTTTCTGTGCTCGATACAGAGTAACTCCTAAAAGAGTGTGACGGACTTTCTACACTGCACACAAGGCATGCCAAACTCATATTTAGACTTGCAACCTGCCACCGATTGCAGAGTTCAAATCTGCAATTTACATCAAGATAGAACCATAAAGTTAGCACATTCCATTTAGATGATAGATTAATAAATAGCACACAATTAAAAGAGAAGAATACAGATGGAAGCAAAAAATGAAGAATTTTTTTTTTAAAAGATGTAAACTGTTTTTACAACTACTAGACTATTCGTAGTCATAGAGAACAAGTAAATTCTGTATCCAAGGAATGCAAAAGACAAGGTAACCGAAGCATTAGAAACTGGGGACTGCACATTATGCCAAGTTGTATAAGAGATCAAAGCTGTATTCTTGAGCTTTTGAAGGGTGAGTATTGTTCTCATGTTGTAAAGATTATGATAAGGACATGCAATCACAAAGTAACAAATAAGCAACGTAGAATAGAGTGCCAAAACTACGCATTGATTCAGCACAATGCTTCTTTATGTGAGTGAGCAACAACACAGAAACAACAACAAAGCCTTATCCCACTAAGTGGGGCGGCTATATGAATCCTAGAACGTCAATGCGCTTGGTTTTGTGCTATGTCTTCCGTTTTATCCAAGTAGTCCAAGTCTTTTCTTAGAGTCTCTTTCCAAGTCTTCCTAGGTCTTCCTCTACCCCTTTGGCCTTGAGCCTCTGTCTCGTAATCACATCTTCTAACCGGAGCGTCTGTAGGTCTTCGTTTCACATGTCCAAACCATCTTAACCGATTTTCTCTCATCTTATGTGTGTGAGCACTCGCAACAAAATTAAGTTAGAACTATTACTATGAAGGTTTGGTCAAATACATATGTAAGTTCACTCGGTAACTACAAATACATAATCCATAATGTTGCCAGACCTCACCTAAGGGTTAATCAAGTTAAGTTTCAACAGTCATACGCCTTGCACTTTGATTTCTCTTTCAAAACATTAGTTTAGAATCTAAAGGCCAAGCTTGTTATATGAACTCAGTTATGAACATTGAATGTGTGTAAATGACCATGTATGATATTTGTTCATTTCTTAAAATCTCGTACTTATTTGGATCATCTGGTAGCTACACTACACCTTTATTACAGTCATGTCTTAGTTGCATGAATATGCATGCATGAAGTAAAGGGTCCAGGTACTGCAGGTCCAAAGGAGGCCCATTCCTTTCAATTTATCACAAAGGAAAAATATACAAATGAAAAGCATCATCATCCTTTGATGCATCTACAAGGAATAAACTAAATGAAATAGGGAAATCTTAATATAACACTCAGAGAAGCACGTGAATATTTGAAGGACCACGAAACAGTAAAAGTAGAAAATGGTAGCTGGCTAAATGAAACACTAAGAGAAAATAATAACTGTCCTTCACAACAAGTCAGTATGGTTCAGTTCATAGCTCCTATACCATTGACTCTAATCTTGATGATAACTTAATAGAATTACATTGTTTTTGTTCCTGCTCTAGACAAGCACTTGGAATATTATTATTCAATGCAGTACATAACCAGTTCTTATCTTCTAGTAGTGCTTTTTGATACAACGATAAGCCACACAAAGGGCCAAGGTATCGAACTCATCATTTGCAGCAATGCTAACTGTTGAGCATGAGGTTATCGCTTTAGCTTAAATGTCACATGAAGGAACTCAATTAATAGTGTTGACAACTGTGAGATTAAAAAGATGCAGGACAACATAAGGTCGGTGTGGCCTATGATTGCCATGAGCTTAGGATGATAGAACTTTAAGTCATAAGGCATTCTTAAGGAAACTGATATTTAATGATCTATATATTACTTTTTGGTCACAAGCAGCAATCAAACACAAAACACACTGTATCTACATCTACACACACACCCCACCCCTCTCCGGTGAAAATTGTGCAATTAAAGTATACGATCCTTGATTTCCATTGCCTTGTCATTTTAAAACCAAAACCGTAGAAAAAATTGGTCAAACGATATTAAAACCAACACATATGCTATATGGCAAATATTGTGTCTAGGCAGTTAGAAAATAAAACATCATAAAGCAAGGGTGTTGTTATTGGCACTCCAAAAATCTCATTGTGCTCTCCAAACGTTCTCTATTTCTTATTTAGAAAGAAAAATACACTAATGAGGAGTGCCCAATGAAATTTTTGGAGTGCCAACAACAATACCCTAAAAAAAATGTGCCAGAAGTAGGATGTTTATATGGACGTGTCTGGGGGCAGAGAAACAATTTGGATGATCTCAAAAAGGTCGTAAAAGGCTCCCGCTTTACGCAGGACTGGGAGAGGTGAATGTCGGCTAGCCTTACCCCCATTTATGGAGAGGCTGCTCCCAAGTCTCGAACCCGAGACCTACCGCTCATGGGCGAAGGCACTTGCCATCGCACCAAGTTGAACACAAAATGAGAAAGAACTTTTTTTTTAAGAAACTGAATCAAGTTCTAAATTCGAAAACTGGGAATTGAAAATCCAGCCCCACAATCCTCCTAGCAGCAACAATTTGTTACCCCCCAGATCTTATGTTGCTAACCAGAGAACAATCAAAGAAAACCCTTATCTGATTATTCCACAGGCAATTGAATAAACATGAATTCCAAGATATTTGGGAGTTAGAGAAATTCAATTGATAAACACCCAGAACACAGTAAACCAAAATTGAAATAGACAAACGCAGGAAAAGATCAACATATGCAAATAAAATAAAAACGCTTTTGTAAGATGTAATCAAACAAAATAAATGGAAGTAAAAGAAAGGATCTGAGATCTGAGAGACATACCGACCTTCTGTGTTCTGAGTTTGATGCGCAACGCTTGTTAAGGCGGTGGTGGCTGGTGGCGTTGATTCTTTCAGCGAGAGAGAGAGCGGAGGAGAGTGTTATATTTATGGGCGGTAATTGGTAAAGGCCAGAGAGGATCATAATATTCTACGATTCTGGGAAATTTGTGCGACTTCTTTGGG